TCTGGGGGCCTTGGCATGTCAGGGATCACCTGGTACAGGGGCTCGAAGTAACCAAACATGTCTTCTGCCACCTCGCCCAGGGGCACTGTGTCGATCACCTGTTGGGGAGGCCTTCTATAGAGGGAGGGGCTGGCCCTCCTGTCCCCTTCCGCCCTGCTCCTGTCCTGTCTTACACCTCCACTCTGTGCCCAATCAGGGACCAGAGACAGGCAAGGTTGGGCAGAAGCAACGTGAAGGTAGTGATTCCCACGGGAGTATCAATATATAGAAAACACAATGGGGGTGAGAACTGGAAGGGTGAGGGCAGGCCACCTGGCTGGGAGCTTGGGGACAGAGGACTCACAGCCCCTCCCTACCTTCTGTGCCACCAGCTTCATCTCAGTGATGTAGGCGGACATGGCCTCCTCCCTGCTCATCTTGCCCAGGCTGTTCCAGGCATCCCTGGGGGCAGAGGGCTGTGAGAGGGCTGGCTGACAGCTGAGGCTTGTTTGCCTGGCTAGTGGGGAGCTCACCACTTATATCGTCCAATGGGGTCCCAGAACCCAGGCCGGGGGACCAGGCAGGGCCCCATGGTAGCCTGCTTGTAGTAGCTGTAGAATCGCAGCATCTCTTCGTAGGAGGGACGGTAAGTGCCTGGACAGAGGGTTGGGAAGTGGAGAGCACAGCATCAGCCCCAGCTCCAGGAGGAGGGGGGTGAGGGGAGAACCACCCTTAGAGGGAGCAGAGATGGTGGGGAGGGGGGTCCCACCCATGGCATCTGGACAGGAGCAGGAAGCAGAAGGGACCCCAGGACAGACCAGCAAAATCTGTAGGGACGAGGGGCATTTCCTCTTTAGAGTCAGACCCCAGCTGTACTGAACCCCAAAATGCGGGTGCCCGCAGCCTCACCATTCTTAGGTAGGTTCTGAATGACGCTGACTGCAGCCTGGAACTGGGTCTGGCAGGCCGGCTCTGGGCTTTCGTTCTCGGTGCCCATGCTGATCCAAGCCCTGGGGCCCCACTTTTGAGCGACTCTGCAAGAACAAGCCTCCGTGTGGGCAGCCCTCCAGGATCCACCAGGCACCATAAGCCACGGACCCGCTTTCCAGGGGGACAAGCTGAGCTCTTTAGAGGCCTGAGAGAGAGACCCTGGGAGGTCAGAAGTTGCGACTGAGGAACCTCCTTTCCCTACCTCAAGGCAGCGTGGTGGCGCCAGGGTAGCGAGGACCTTGGTGGGTGGGTGGAGAGGAAGGTGGCAAGGGTCGCAGTGCCGATGTCCCCCAGGTGTGCCTCTCTAGGTGCACATCTCCAACTCCTGGACAGGCCAATGAGTAAACGAGGCGGCGTCAGGGGGAAGTAAACAGTCTCCCAAACTGGCCCCCAGGACCCCAGCCTGGCCCTCACCTCGCCACGCGTCCACTGTCCGGACACCCGGGTCCTCTCTCGCCACTAACCCGCGGCTTCCGACTGACCTCGGGGTCCAGTCTGGCCGGGATGGGGCCGCAGAACGGGGGGAAATTTAAGCCAATGAAAGAGCCTGTTTCACATTGGGCTTCTATGCCTCACCCATTCAGCGCTTCCCTTTCAAGATTATGCAAATAGCTTCGCAATGCCGGTCCTAATCAGGCGGGGCTAATGCCGGAGTCGGACTTCCCTGCTCCGGAGTGCCGAGGCGGACAGCAGCGCCCCCTGGTGGACATAGTGAAAAGTCGCGGAGTCCTGGCGCCCCCTGGTGGAAATTCGCGTCTGTAAGCTGAGCCTAGGCCTGGCAGGTCCGAGCCACCCACCCAGCTCTTCTAAGGCTTAGGCGTTGGGAATAAAAAGAGTCACGTCTGGTTTCAGGCGTTCTGAAGGAGGGACATCACAGTTGAGTTTTGGAAGCTTTAAGAGTAAGCCGGATGGAGATATAGAGTAGAATGATGGTTACCTGAGGCCAGGAAGAGTAGTGGGGGTGCAGTAAAGAGGGGTGGTTATGGGATACAAAAATATAATTAGGTATAAGGAACAGGATCTAGTATCTGGTAGCACAATAGGGAGTCTATAGTGAATGATAATATATTGTGTGTGTGTGTGTATATATATATATATATTTTTTTTTTTTTTTTTTGAGTCAGAGTCTCACTCTGTTGCCTGGGCTAGAGTGCTGTGGTGTCAGCCTAGCTCACAGCAACCTCAAACTTCTGGGCTCAGGTGATCCTCCTGCCTCAGCCTCCTCCCGAGTAGCTGGGACTAACAGGCATGCACCACCATGCCAGGCTAATGTTTTCTATATACTTTTAGTTGGCCATTTAATTTCTTTCTATTTTTAGTAGAGATGGGGTCTTGCTCTTGCTCAGGCCAGTTTCCAACTCTTGACCTTGAGCGATCCTCCCACCTCGGCTACTCAGAGTGCTAAGATTACAGTCATGAGCCACCACGCCCCGCTTATTGTATATTTTTAAATAACTAAAGAGTGGAATTAGAACATTCCTAACACAAATAAGTGAATGCTTGAGGTGATGGATATCCCGATTATCATTACACTTTGTATACTTGTATCAAAACATCACACGTACCCTATAAATATGTACAACTATTATGGATCCATATTAATGAAAAATAAAGGGCACAATCGATCTGATGACCTCACGTTCTCCCTGGCTGCCACAGACAAAGGATGGACATTCATGGAGAATAGGAACCCTCTTCCTTCTGTCTGTGAGCCCCTTGCCTCTCCTCCCTACTGTAAGGGAAAATATATATATATATAAAATATATATATTTATAATTTAAAAACTTAAAAAAAGAGACCAGGCGCAGTGGCTCACACCTGTAATCCTAGCACTTTGGGTGGCCGAGGCGGGAGGATCACTTGACGCCAGGAGTCTGGGACCAGCCTGAACAACAGCAAGACCCTGTTTCTACAAAAATAGAAAAAATTAGCTGGGCATGGTGGCGCATGCCTGTAGTCTTAGCTACTCAAGGCTGAGGCAGGAGGATCGCTTGAGCCCAGGAGTATGAGGTTGCTGTGAGCTAGGCTGATGCCTTTGCACTCTCGCCTGGTCGACAGAGCCTGACCACCGTCTGGGGGGGGGGAGGAAATAAATAAAACTTAGCTTATTAAAAAAAGAAAAAACAAAAAAAGGCTGGGCATGGTGGCTCATGCCTGTAATCCTAGCACTCTGGGAGGCCAAGGTGGGTGGATCGCTCAAGGTCAGGAGTTTGAAACCAGCCTGAGCAAGTGCGACACCCTTCTCTACTAAAAATAGAAAGAAATTAATTGGTCAACTAAAAATATATAGAAAAAAATTAGCCAGGCATGGTGGCGCATGCCTGTAGTCCCAGTTACTAGGGAGGCTGAGGCAGGAGGATTACTTGAGCCCAGGAGTTTGAGGTTGCTGTGAGCTAGGCTGACGCCACTGCTCTCTAGCCCCGGCAACAGAGTGAGACTCTGTCTCAAAAAAAAAAAAAAAAGAAAAAGAAAAAGAAAAAAAAGTAAGCCAGGAGAAGAATGAGGAAAATTATTCTTGGAGGAAAATATGGCAGGATCAAAAATACAAAAACAGAGAGTTGATATTCAGGAAGAAATTTCAGGACCCCAGAGCGGGGTGGGGACCCAAGCCAGAATGCGTAATCTCTGGGTAGGGAATATCTGAGAATGGGGTAGAGCGGGGCAAGTAGGTGGCAAATCTAAGTCCTGGGAAAGAGGCTTTCTCCTCGGGATGCCACGCGGGTGGCGGCCACCAAGTGGCGGTGTGCGCCCAGCTCTCCACCCGACTCGGGGCACCTGCCCCGACAACGCTGCCACCTGGACATCCCACCCTTCGCGCCCGTACTCCGGTGGTTTCATACAAATAGTAGGTGACACCTGACACGGCCACCGGAACCCGCACGCGGACGCCCACCGGTGGGGTGACGTCACCGACAGCTACACCGCGGGCGGCGGCTGTCCCGGGACCATGGGCTGGGGTTCCAACCCGTCCAAGCCAGCTGGCCGGGACTCCAGACCCACGCCGCCTCACGCTGCCCAGACCGGCCAGCTTCGAGGCCGTAGGAGTCTGAGCGGGCGGCCGCTGGCCCGCGCGGGGGCGCAGATCCTGTGACGTCCCTGCCAGAGCCCCCACCCACCCAGCCGGCCCCCCGCCGCCGCGCCCCTCCCTTCGGGCTCGCGCTGCGGGGCCGCGCCTTGGCTCCCGGGGCTGCGGGCTTTCCGCGGGGGCCCTGAGCCCCCATCTGGCTCCCTGCCGAGGCCCGCGGGCGGGACGCGCACGCGGACGGTGGAGGGGGTCCCGTCCGCACCGAGCCGGGGTCCCGGAGGGGGAGAGCGTGTCTGTGCCGGGGGCAGCCCTCGCCCCTCCGGTGCCCGCTCCCCCCGCAGCCTGGGGGCTCTGGCCACCCATGGGGCCGGGAGCCAAGGATCGCTCGGACAATGGGGACGCCGACTCGCGAGCAGGGCGAACGCGCTGACTCGGGGGACTCACGTTCCCGGGCCTGGGGTCCCGGCCGCCGCCTCGCGCCACCCCCGCGCACTCCTCGCCCCGCCCTCCCTCGCTGGCCCTCCCTCCCTCCGCCGCGTCCCTCCCTCCTTCCCTCCTCCCGGCTCCTTCCCTGACTCGCTCCCGGCGCCGCTAAGTTTCTTCGCTCGGGACCGCGCAGGGAGCCGGGGCCGGGCCGGAGCGGCGTCCCCGCTGCCCTGTCCTCGCGCGCTGACCCCCGGCCCGGCCCCGGCCCCGACCCCACCGAACCATGCTGTGCGGCCGCTGGAGGAGATGTCGCCGCCCGCCTGAGGAGCCCCCGGTGTCAGCCCAAGTCGCAGCGCCGGCCGCGCTCCTGCACTCGCCGGCGTCCTCGGAAGGCGGCACCAAGAGGCCCGGGCTGCGGGCGCTGAAGAAGATGGGTCAGTGTCGCGCTGGGGGGCTCTGGGTGGGCGTGGATTGTCCCCAGGGGCTCAGCCTGGGGGGACAGGTTGCTCCGGGGAGCTGTTCGGGACTTCCCAAGCTGCATAGACTTGGGAGGCTGTGGCGACGGGCGGAGTGCCACCACTGTCCAGCCATCCAGTCGAGGGTCGCACCTGGGGTCACCTGAGATCCCCAGGCCGAGCCGGGCGCCTAAGGAGGTTCTTTTTTCCCCACCAGGAGGCGCCCGCGGGGCGTGCTGGAGTGCGAATTTGGGCGAGGGCGCAGATTGGGGTCTCTTAAGGGCAGGGAGAGTGGAGCGGAGGTAAAGGTTTGGGGTGCCCGTCACCCGCCTCCCCAGTACCTTCTCCGGGACATCTTGGGGACTTGGCGGCCCTTAGGAGGGATGAGAGTTGTTTGCGGCTGGCCTCTGTGGAAGAGGCTGGCCTCCCAAGCCAGCCCTCCATCCCCGCTGCAGGGGCAGCAGCAGCTAGTGAGAACACTGTCTCAGGAGTCAGGAGGTCAAAGGTCCCATCTCAGACTTGGGGGAGGTCACTAGATGAAAAGGAAGTAACTGTGGCTTATGAAGAAGCATGTCTCAGAGACAGGCCGGCACCAGGTGGTTTACATACCTGGTGGCATGTAATCCTCTTCACCTCTCTGAGACATAGGTAGGTAAAGCCCCATTTCAGATGAGGAAAGTGACTCAGAGATGTCAAGGAATTTGTCTATAATCACACAGCTAGTCAAAGACAAAGTCTGATTGGTCCCCAGGCTGTGCCCCATGACCTGGCCACCGGTACTCCCTCAGGGTGCAGGAGAATAGGACTCGTGAGCTTGGGTGTGAGAGTACTGTGTGACCCGAGAGGACCGTCCAGCCCAGGTGCTGTATTGGAGCCGCTGTTGGGAGAATAATGACGGGGAACAGAAGGGCAAGGCTGCCCAGGAAACCCGCATGAATCTGGGGCAGAATGCGGGGGTCCTGACTGCCAGTCTTGCCTTCTCCTTGGCGCTGCCCCTCCTCTCACTCACTCGACCTGCACTTATTGGGTGCTGTGCTCTGAGCACTGTGCCTGCATGCGTGCATTCCACAAACATTTCTGGAGGGCCTGTAGTGTGCTCTGCCCTGGGGCTCCCGCCCTGGGAGAGCTGAGGCACCAGCAGGGAGGCCAGACCATGAATCGGAGGGACAAGGCCCTGGAAGGAGGGACATGTGAGATGCTGGGGAGCCGGCGAGGGCCCTGGCTGCCCAGACTGGAGCGGCGAACGGGAGAGGCAGGTGGGGGCCGTGTCCTCCAGGCCCCTCCTTGTAGAGTTGTGGACTTGTCTACAGGGCAGCAGGAGCCCCAGAAAGGGCTCAGGCAGAGTGAGTTGTGGAGATCAGAGGGCGGGGTGGAGGCAGGGGGAAACAGGGAGATTCAAGGAGAGGGGCTGGAGAATCAGTCGGGCAGGGGTGGCGGGGCTCAGACTTGGCCAGGGGCGCCCGAGACACACTCCAAAACTCCCAGGAGGTAGGTTGGCTAGACTCTGTGATCGGCAACCTGAAAGGTATCTCTGGGTGGGGGGTGGTGCCATTCTTTGGGCTAAGAAGCAGTGTGGTTTGGGGACTGGAGGGGCGGGGGCCAGTTAGCCCTGGGAGTCAGCTCCCACAGGGTTCTCGGATGCCGTGGCCGGGCAGAGGTGAGCTGCTGAGCCCAGCCGGGCCCTTCATTCCACGCATGTTTGCTGAGCACCATCAGCAGGCCAGGGCGCTGTGCCCGGGCTGGGCTACAGAGCTGCACATCACACAGCCTTGCCCTCGGGGAGTGCACAGTCTAGTGGGCAGAGACATGTGCAGACAAATAATTATTATGGTTGAGCCCAGGATGCAGCACCTGTCAGCTGAGTAGGCCTGCACGGGAGCTCTGGGCACTTGATCAGGGTGACACTGTGGGGAACTATGTGGGTATCAGGATGTCATCTCGGCCACCCTCCCTTCCCACCACTGCCCTATCCTGTTGAGTGACTTCAGAGGCCACAGAGAGCCCAGGGACAGGGTGGAGACGAAACTCAACCCTGGGGCCCTGCCCCTCTGGCCATCAGGGGCCCATCACTAGGTAGCTGCCACTGCCCCTCACTGCCACACCATGCCATTGCAATCACCACACCCCTTAGGCTAGCAGAGAACAGATTTTATATCAAATCAGGTCAAGAGACTAGGGCAGGGAGTGGCTCAGAGGGGCCCAAGGAAAAGAGAAGGCCTTCAGGGCCATACCAGGGAGACTGAGAGGAGGGAAGGAGAGGAGGAAGGAACCCCCGACCCCATGGTCAGTGTTGGGTGGGAGTTATTTGTGCCCTTTTGGTCCCCTGTTCCTGGGCTGGGCCGCTGGCCTGGCAGGGAATAGTTGAAGAGAGGAGAGATCTCGAGCCCAGGATCACCCGCCACGCGCTGGGCGCCGCGCTGAGCTTGCAAGAGGCTTGATCCTGCTTAATCCTCAGATGTCCCTGAGGGGAAGGTGCTGTCCTCACCTTAGGTCACTTACAGATGAGAAACTCAAGGTGGAGGGGAGAAGTCACTGCCCAAGGCCACACCATTGGCAGGTAGTGTCTGCCTGCCATCAAAGCCTAATCTTCAATGATAGACTAATGAATACTAATTAACACCTTTATAACACTGTGCCAGGCACTTGTCACATAACATCTCATTTAATGCTCACAATAATAGGAGGTAGGTACCATCAGCCTCCTTTTATAAGTGAGGAAACTGAGGCTCAAAGGCATTTGGTAACTTGCCCAGAGTTCAAAGCCAGGAAGTAGCTGAGAGAAGATTTGGACCCAGGCAGTGTGGCCCAGAGTCTGTGCTCACAGCACAATGAATGAAAGAGAAGCTTGTGCCTGGGGAGGGCCTGCTACTCCTCCCTCCCCCGCAGCCCTGCCAGCCCCAGGGGTGTCCTGATAGGATTGCCAAATGAGATACAGGACACCCAGTTAAGTTTGAATTTCAGATAAACAACAAAAAATGTGGGACATATTTACACTAAAAATTATCTTTTGCTTATCTGACAGTCACATTGAACTGGTGTTCTGAATTTTTTCTGGCAACCCTACCTCCCCAGAGCCCCGTCTACGCCTGTGCCCCATGCCCCACCCCTGCCCCTAATCCTCCCAGCGGGCAGAGGCCTGAGTGGGCAGAATCCTGCTCCCGTCCCTCCCCGGCCTGCACACACCACCAGGAGCCCCTGGGCAAGAGGGCTCTCCCATGGCCTGCCCGGGCTGCCTCCTGCAGGGTGAGTGGGGCTGCTGTGGGTGGGGTTGGCAGGTGGGCTCCTTAGAGGGGCCCTCAGCCCTGGCAGGTGCCTGTCCTGGGTGGTGGGGAGGGGTGGGCAGCCCTCCAGGCTAAGCAGGGACATGCCAGGCAGGGCTGGGGAGCTGGCTCTGTCAGGCCTTGTGGCCCCGCTCCTGTCACCCTGGCTTCTGCCCCCAACCCAGCTTCATGCCTGTTCTGGCCCTGCAGGGAAGGGTGCAGCCACCTTCACCTCCGAGTCCGGCCCAGGGCCAGGGGAAGCACTCCCTGCCTTTCCTGACTTTGTTGACTCTCCAGGGAATGTTGTGGACTCTGGCTCTGAGCCCCGCCAGGCTACAGCCCTGGGTGTGGCAGCCGGCTGGGACTTGGGCGACATGCTTGTGCCTGAGGTGCTGAGGCTGCCTGCTGGCTAAAGGATTAGGGTGGGCAGGTGTTGGGGACCCCTGGCCATGGTTTGTCCTCTTCCAGCATCTCACAGCCCCAGCCGCCTGGAAACTGTTCTTTCCCTCCTCCCGCCTTGGCCTTGGCCTTGGCCTGAGGCTGGGCTGTCGCTGTTCCCGGCATGTCTGGCATTCCTGCTGGCGCTCCGTGTGCCCTTCCTGTGTGCACTGGCTCTCACACACAGCCCGCCTATCTTCCTCCCCTGGCTGACCCACCTTCCTCCCGCCCCACCTCCCAGCCCGTGCACACACTCCGCTTCTACGTACACCCCCTGCACACACGTGGCCCCTGCGTGTACAGACCTGGAGACCACACAGAACCCCCATACCACCCTGCTGGCCTGCTCTGGCCTCTGCCCGCCCCTGCACAGCCCCTGCGCCCATCCTGGCCTTGCACACCCTGCACGGTTTCCTGCACACACAGCTGGCCCTCTCAGCTCAGCGGCCCGTCTGTGCAAGGGGTGGGATTTGGGAACCCATTCCAGCTCTGCAATGAGGAGTTGCATGCCCCCAGCCTTGGCCACCCGCACGGAACTGCTCAGGCCCCACACCCCCAGCCTCCCCGGGCTGAAGGTGGAGGTGGAGAGACTCTGGGCCTGCCCCGCACTCGCCACTCCTGGCCCCTCTCTGGCCGCTGAGATAAGCGGCTCAGGGGAGGTTTCTGAGCCCAGCTGACAACACTGAACTGGCAGGAGGTGGGCCCAGCTGGTGGAGGCCGTGGGGTTGCAAGGCACAGACATATCGAACACCTGGTGCCTCTTCCCTCCTGGGACACTGACACACTTCCCCAGAGCCCTGCCTCAGTTTCCTTCTTTATTCTTATTTATTGAGCACCCACTGTGGGCCAGGCCCTGGCCTGAGAGCTCCGTGTGCCTTTGCTCATTGTGGCCACTCGGAGCCCTCTGGGGCTGACTCCCCCAACTTCCACCACATTCCAGCTCCTTTGCTGTCTTACCTGGCGGCCCGGACAGTCAGCTAGCTGCTCTCTGCCTCCTTAACAGCTTTATGGAGATATCAATGCACATACGATATTATCCATCCATTTAAAGTGTGCAGTGGCTTCTGGCATATTACATTATTAAATTTTAAAAATTATGGTAAAATATATATAACATAACATTGGCCATTTCAACTATTTTTATTTAAATCACTGGCATTAATTACATTCACACTGTTGTGCAACCATCACCGTAACCTATTTCCCCCAAACTTTTTTATCACTCCAAACAGAAACTCTAGCCATTAAGCAGTGATTTCCCATCCCACCTCCAGGACCTCCAATCTACTTTGCATCTCCGTGAATTGTCTGCGCTGTGTACCTCGAATAGTGGAATCATACAGTATTTGTCCTTTTGGATCTGGCTTCTTTCAATGAATGATGTTTCCAAGGTCCGTCCGTGTTGGAGCATACATCAGATTTCACTCTTTTGTGGCCGAATACTATTCCGTGTATAGACCACATTTTGTTATCCCTTCCTCTGTTGGTGGACACTTGGGCTGTTTCCACCTTTTGGCTGTTGCTCGCCCTCATTTTACTGCTATAATCTCACGATGGTTCCCACCCACTCTGCTCCAGGTAGCCTGGCACCAGCCTGGCAGCTGCCGGTCAAGGCAGAGATGGTTGGAACAGGTGGAAAAGCCACGCAGACAGTAGGCAGTGGGCGGTTTGTGCACCTGCTCAGAGCAGGTAGGAATGAGGTCAAGGCAACACCTGTGGGTTTGGGACTGGCAGGTCCTATGAATGTTTCCTGGGTGTCTGGGCCAGGCACGGGTGCCCTCCTGCTGCCCTCCCCACCTCACCTCTGTTAACACCCTCACCTCTGCTCACCGCCCCAGGGTTCAGAAGCACCAGCAGTGGAGAGCTAGGGCAGCCACCCAGGGACTCAGCGCCTGGGCCAGCGGGTTCTGCTCCCTCATTCTGTTTGGCTTTGCCATTTGGTGTGTGGCTGGAGGCAGGGTCATCCAGAGGCCAGTGCCAGTCGGGTGGACAGCCTGGAATGTCACTCCTTCCCCTAGCATGTTTCTGGGGGGCTGAGGGTAAGGGCCAGGAGTAGGGGCCCCCTCATTGTGGGAATCTGTGCCAGTGGGGGCCCAGTCAGGTGTTCAGGCTGCTTGTCTCCACCGCCTGTTTGCAGAAGGCTCTGGACAAAGCAGGCCCTAGTGACTCACCTCCATTTCCTGTCTTAGTCATTCACCAGCCCTCACACGTCCCCCTCCCCGGCCACTGTGGGCTTGGCATCAGAGGACTGGCTGGCTTAGGGGAGGTGGCCCCAGCTGCAGAGCTTGGTTGTCATGGCAATGAGCAGTCCCCTTTCCCAGGGTTGAGGGAGGGGTGGCCCCAGCCCTGGTGGCACTGCAGGTTCCCCTGACTGTTCTGTCCCCACCCGTCATTTCTCAGGATGAGAGAATTCAGAGGTTGCCAAGATGAGGCAGAGGGGAGGATCTGGTGAGTCCCTTAGCCTGGCACATGCCTTGTACACCCAGCTCTGTGGAAAGAGCAGGGTTCCACTTCTCTTTCCAACCAGGCGGCACTGAAGGGGTACTGACCCAGAAAGCCACATGCTGACCCCAGAGGGGACCGTAACCCACTAAGGAGGGCAGGCTTCTCCTCCTGCCCCTGAGATCCTGATTCTCAGTCATGGTCACCCTCAAAGTCACAAGGCAGGTTTTTTAAAATACAGAAGCCCACTCCCCACCTCACATCTACTAGGTGAGAATCTCTGGGCGGTGGGCTTTGCAACCTCCCCCGATGATTCCTGCGCACAGGTAGGCTTGAGAAACCCTGGCCCATAGGCCTCTGCCTTGGACTCGGACAGATGGGGCAGGGCTGGGGTAGAAAGCACTCAGTCCCCATCTGCCCGTCTACCTGCCCACACCCGTCAATACACACTAGCTGTGAGCCTGGCTCTGGGGTGAGTGCTGTAGGGAGGAGATAAGACTTCATTCTGCCCTCAGCTTTATTAAAATCCCCTGAAATTACATTATAGGTGGGTTTTGTTTTTTTCTTTAAGTTAAGAAGTGCTGGCCGGGCGCGGTGGCTCACGCCTGTAATCCTAGCACTCTGGGAGGCCGAGGCGGGCGGATTGCTCAAGGTCAGGAGTTCAAAACCAACCTGAGCGAGACCCCGTCTCTACCATAAAAATAGAAAGAAATTAATTGGCCAACTAATATATATATATATAAAAATCAGCCGGGCATGGTGGCTTGTGCCTGTAGTCCCAGCTACTCGGGAGGCTGAGGCAGGAGGATCACTTGAGCCCAGGAGTTTGAGGTTGCTGTGAGCTAGGCTGACGCCACGGCACTCACTCTAGCCTAGGCAAGAAAGCGAGACTCTGTCTCAAAAAAAAAAAAAAAAAAAAAAAAAAAGAAGTGCTGCTGGTGGTCAGAGAGAGAACTCCCATTTGAGGACAAATCAAGGAAGGCTTCCTGGAGGAGGTGGTATCAGAGCTGGTCCTTGAAGGATTTGAACATGAGGAGGAGGACCAGGGGGAAGGATCCTACAAAGGCTCCAAAAAGAGAGCGAGAGGGGAGTTCCAGGGATTTGGACTTGATTCCTTAGGTTGGAGTTTGCAGCTGGGCAGGCAGGAGCCTTGGGAGTGCAAAGCCAAACCCAGTCTTAGGGGCCTGTTAAAATAAGGGAGGAAGAGAGGCCCACTGATATGTTGTCTTTGGCCCACACAGTGGTGGTGGGGGGGTTGTTGTTGTTTTTAATTCAATTTAGTTGCCAAGATTAAAAAATCTGGTGGCTTCACATACTGATCCAGATTCCAGTTCTCTGGAAACTCTGGGCCCTCAGCCCCTCCTGGCTGTCCTTCTCCTTCCAAAGGGCATGCACTCTCCAGATTGCCTGGTTCCTGCCTCTTCTATTGTCCCCTGGCTCATAACCCTTTAGTTGTGACTCTTGCTGAGGCATTTCAGAGCAGGGTGTGGCACCACCAGGGCTGGCCATCACATGTTCGAAGGGTTAGGGCCAGGGTAGGGCCGAACTCAGTGTTGGTCACTCTGGAGAGAACCCTGGATTTTGGATTTTGCAGCGAATATTACCATGGTCTCCATTTTATGGATGGAGAACATGAGACTGAGAGCAGTCAGGGGTTAGTGCCACCAGGGCCATGTAACTGGGATGTGACTCCCCCAGCCCCTGAATTTAAATTGTTCTCGTAGGAGGAAGGGAGACAAAGGCAGCAGAAGAGCTGGGCAGCGCATGGGCCCAGGGCCAAGGCACTAGAGCACCACCTCCAGGGTTCACCTGTGTCCACCACTTCCTAGCTATGGAATTCTGGCAAGTGAATTAAGCTTCCCCTAGCCTCAGTTTCCTCATTGGTTAATACAAGAGCAGGGCCTGCACAAAGGAGATGCTTTGTGAGCGTTTGCTTTTAATAAGGAGGGTGGACACTGGCTGGAGAGGGCATGTGGACTGAAGGGTCATAGGGGTTGTGGCAGTGGCCTAGCAAGAGGGATCATCAAATGTCATGGAAGACCTTCCTTTTGGCAGGGCCCCATCAGGGCACAAAGAGGACACCTGGAGATCAGCCAGGCAGGGCTGGTCCTGGAGTCTTTGGCCTGTGACCCTGGAGCCAAGGTGGCCTCTGCTGCCCTCCCATGTCTTTGGGAAAGTAGAAGCGAGGTGCTTGGGTTGCAGCAAGAGAGATCTAGGTTAGATAGTGAGACTACTTTCCTGATGGCCACAGTTTCACATCAAGGGAAAAGGCTATTGGTGGCAGATTCTGGGGTTGAAGGCTGGAGGCCATAGTGGAGAAGGGTGGCAGAAACGGTGATTTTTTTTTTTTTTTGAGAGAGAGAGTCTCACTCTCTTGCCTGGGCTAGAGTGCCGTGGCATCAGCCTGGCTCACAGCCACCTCAGACTCCTGGGCTCAAGCGATCCTCCTGCCTCAGCCTCCTGAGTAGCTGGGACTACAGGCATGCGCCACCTGTGCCTACCTAATTTTTTCTATTTTTAGTTGTTTGGCTAATTTTTTTCTATTTATAGTAGAGACAGGGTCTCACTCTTGCTCAGGCTGGTCTCAAACTCATGAGCTCAAGCAATCCTCCTGCCTCGGCCTCCCAGAGTGCTAGGATTACTGGTGTTAGCCACCAGGCCTGGCCAGAAAGGGTGATCTTTAGTGAGGCTTGAGTCCCAGGCACTGCCTGAAGGGCTGCAGGGACCGCTGCTCAGAACTAGGGAGGGAAGGGCTGTTACTAGCACCCACCTTTAACCCCCCTGCCCTGGGGCCCAAAAGCCTAAAGCCAAACCCAGTGATGGTGGCTTGTTACAGTAAGGAGAGGAAGGGAGGCCTGCGAGGGGCGGGGACACTCACTGCAAGGTGAAGGCCTGGGTTTGGGAGGCTGGGGGCTGGGAGCAGCAGGTCCCAGGATGGCCTGTAGGGTCAGGCCAGCACCCTGTCCTCCTGCTATGGTCCTATCCACGGCTGGACTTGGAAGTGTTGCCCCAGTTCTTGGGCTCCGGGCTTGAAAGAATCACAAGCCTTGGCCCTCAAGACAGAGAGAGATGCCAGACACTCCGCAAGTGTGCGTGAAGAAGTTATTGTAAGGAAGGTTTAAGGGTGCAAAGCCAGACTCCATTTCCTAAGGGGAAACGGGTGCGTCTCCGCCAGTCGAGAAGACATTGTCTACTTCTATGTTTTTCCTTTTATATGCTAGTAGTTTAAGTAAAGCTTAGTTATAATTCTTCATAACTATACATCACTGTTTTGGAGACTGGATTCCTTTTTACGTTTGGACAAGGCTGAAAGGCAAACACTCCCGCCCGCAGGCCTGACGGAGGACGAGGACGTGCGCGCCATGCTGCGGGGCTCCCGGCTGCGCAAGATCCGCTCGCGCACGTGGCAGCAGGAGCGGCTGTACCGGCTGCAGGAGGACGGCCTGAGCGTGTGGTTCCAGCGGCGCATCCCGCGCGCGCCGTCCAAGCACATCTGTGAGCGGCGGGCCGGGGGCGCCAGGCGGGGGAGCGTCGGGGACGTCGCGGCCCTGCGGCCACCCTGACCCGCCCTCCCTGCAGTCTTCCTGCAGCACATCGAGGACGTCCGCGAGGGCCACCAATCCGAGGGCCTGCGGCGCTTCGGGGCCGCCTTCGCGCCGGCGCGCTGCCTCACCATCGCCTTCAAGGGCCGCCGCAAGAACCTGGACCTGGCGGCGCCCACGGCCGAGGAGGCGCAGCGCTGGGTGCGCGGCCTGGCCAAGCTGCGCGCGCGCCTCGACGCCATGAGCCAGCGCGAGCGGCTCGACCAATATCCTGCCCGTGCTGGGAGGGAGGTCCTGGGACAGCCCCCCGTCCGAGGGGAGGCATGGCCCCTGCCCTTAGCGTGCACAGTCTGAGATGGGGACGGAGGCTGAGGTCTTCACAGCTGACCATGGGGACACACGCCCTGGCCTGGGCTGAACTCCCACCAGGAGGGAAGGCAGGGCCCCTCCTGCCTTTGGGGAGCCCCAGTCCCATTGACCCTGTGCTCAGGGAGTCTACAAGCCAAGGGGAAGGTGCAGCCCCTAACCAAGGAAGCTCCCAGACCCAGGTGCCAGCGGCAGGGGAGGTGGGCAGCCTGTTGTTGGTATTTCCTGAGCACCCACACTTGGATCCACTCCTATCTGCACCGGGCAGACTCCAACCAGGACAGTAAGATGAGCTTCAAGGAGATGAAGAGCCTGCTCAGAATGGTCAACGTGGACATGAATGACATGTACGCCTACCGCCTCTTCAAGGTGGGCCATGGCCTTGAACTCTGGCCCCTGCCACCCCTTTGTCCTCTCCCAGCAATCTGAGTCATCAGCTAGCTCCCTGCCCCAGCTTTTTTTTGGAGGGAGCAGCCTTTCCCTGCAGAATGGTGACATCTGGGCCTAGTTACCCTTTTTCCCTCCCCCGAGGCCACTGGGCCAGGATGGAATTGAGGAATGGCTATCCAGAACTTCTTTCACCCTCAGGGAGAGCCCAGCGGTAGAGTGGCACCTTCCCACCCCTCCAAAGTGAGGAGCCAAGTTGTTTTCATTTCTCTAAGTCTGCAGGGCACCTTTTGCACCCAGAGCACAGGCAGGAGTTGGCTTGTGGACACCTGTGTGCACAAAGACATACACGCACACTCTCCTCCGTGCACCTCTCACGCGACCATGAACACCTCCTGCATGGGAGCACAGAGGCACACGGGTGGGCTCTGCGTCTAGGCCCAGGGGAGCACATGGCAGACACCTGCGTAGATGGTGACAGTGTGACCACCCTGTGACCCTGAAAGACAGAAAAGACCATGGGACCTGGACACTTGGGCCACAGCTCCATAGGGACTGCTCCATGGGTTCTCGTTTATGTGTTTGCTCATGAACCCTGGGGGTGAATGTGTGAGCGTGAGGATGGTAACGTGTCCATGTGGGGGGGGGCGTTGTGGCCCAGGGTCACCGTTTTTCCTCCCACGTCTTGGTTCTGGGGCAGGTCCTGGTGCAGAGGGACAGGCACTGACCTGAGACCTTCCTTAAGATGGAGCCCTGCAATTTACCAGCAGTGGGAGCTGGAGGGACCAGAGTCTTGCTCTTAGTTTCTCCACCTGTGCAAAGGGGGATGTCGCCTTCCTAGCTGTGCTAGATGAGGGCGTGTCGATGGGGCAGATGGCCCGGGGTGGCCCCTCCTCTGAGTGTCTCCCCCTGCTCCCCAGGAGTGTGACCGGTCCAACAATGAGCGGCTGGAGGGCGCTGAGATCGAGGAGTTCCTGCGGCGGCTGCTGAAGCGCCCAGAGCTGGAGGAGATCTTCCATCGGTACTCGGGCGAGGACCGCGTGCTGAGCGCCCCTGAGCTGCTGGAGTTCCTGGAGGACCAGGGCGAGGACAGCGCCACATTGGACCGCGCCCAGCAGCTCATCCAGACCTATGAGCTCAACGAGACAGGTGGGGGTCTGCACAGCTAGGTCATAGTTAGGAACGCACCTGCCAGGGCTGCGTTCCAGGCCGAGCTGTCTGTCCTGTGGGCTGGCGGTGGGCACCATCTCGGGCAGGTTCTTGCGTCTTCCAGACTCTGCTTCCACATCTATAAAATGGCATAATAATGTGTCTTCCTCATGGGGTTTGGTTGATGATTAAATGGCATGACTTACGTAAAGTCTAATCTGTAGACAGTCCTCATTACTAAGTTGAATGACCCTTGGGGGGCATTTGGGTCTGGACACGGGGGTCCTCCAGCTGGCCTGATACCCTCTCTTGCCTATCCCTGTAGCCAAGCAGCACGAGCTGATGACACTGGATGGCTTCATGATGTACCTGCTGTCACCTGAGGGGGCTGCCCTGGACATGGCCCACACGCACGTGTTCCAGGACATGAGCCAGCCCCTTGCCCACTACTTCATCTCCTCCTCCCACAACACCTACCTGACCGACTCGCAGATCGGGGGGCCCAGCAGCACCGAGGCCTACGTCAGGTACCATGGTGGGGGTAGACACGCCTGGGAGCCCCGCTTGGAGGGGACATGGGGCTCAACCCCCACTCTGGGCTTCCTGGGGCCTCCCTGGCTCAGCCTGCTGTTGTTGTGGCCCCCACACACCACGCTGGCCATCGGTCCCTCTGTCCGTCTGCAGGGCCTTTGCCCAGGGATGCCGCTGCGTGGAGCTGGACTGCTGGGAGGGGCCTGGGGGTGAGCCCATCATCTACCACGGCCACACCCTCACCTCCAAGATTCTCTTCCGGGATGTGGTCCAAGCTGTGCGTGACCACGCCTTCACGGTGAGCCCCTGTGACCCCCATGCCCAGCCCCAGAGCCTTCCGGGCGACCACCTGCCCAAGAATCACTCATTCACCAAGTGCTGCTGGGATAAGTATCAATGGGGTGGGACAAAGCCAAATGACATGCTCCCTCCTCTCCCACCTTCATATTTAATACCTGTATTAAAATCACAAGGTTGGCCGGGCGTTGGCCAGGCGCGCACTCTGGAGCCCGAGGGGCGGATTGCTTGAGGTCAGGAGTTCGAAACCAGCCTGAGCGAATCGAGGGACCCGTCTCTACTATCAAATAGAAAAATAATTGGCCAACTAATATATAGAAAAACTACCGAGCATGGTGGCACATGCCTGCTAGTCCAGCTTCTTGGGAGGCTGAGGCAGGAGGATGCTTGAGCTCAGGATTTTGAGGTTTGCTGTGAGCTAGGCTGACGCCACGGCACTCACTCTAGCCTGGGCAACAAAGTGAGACTCTGTCTCAAAAAAAAAAAGAAAAAAGAAAACCATGTCTGCAGTTGCCCTCACCTCCCAGCAGGACATGGCTCCCAGGGCCTCGGATCTGACCTCTGCCCTCCATGGACACATGGTGTCAGCGTGTGTCCCGCACCCCATCTACTCAGTCCTCCTCCAGTGGGTTCTCCAGAGCCCTGCCTGGCCTGCCTGGCCTGAGGGGTTGGGGGCAGGGTGGGTACTGGCAGGGGAAAGAGGAGCGGCTCTGAGGCATTGTCCCTCCCCCCACAGCTATCCCCATACCCTGTCATCCTATCCCTGGAGAACCACTGCGGACTGGAGCAGCAGGCTGTCATGGCCCGCCACCTCCGCACCATCCTGGGGGACATGCTGGTGACACAGGTGCTGGACTCCCAGAACCCTGAGGAGCTGCCATCTCCAGAGGTGATGTCTCCCAGGCCCCCAGCCTAGGTGGAGTCCCTGCTCGTGCCACCTCTCTGTCCAGGACCCCTCACCTCTCTCCGCCTTGACCTTTCCCTGCTCCTCCATCACCTGATATCTGCCACTTCCAGTCTTGTCCCTCTGCTGCCCTCCGGCTCTCCATTCTTTCTTGGACCCACCCCACATTCTTACTTGGCCTTCAAGGCCTTCCTCAACCTGGCTCTGCCCTGCCTGCTCTGAGTCCCTGTCCATAGAGTCCCTGCAGGCTCAGCCATTCCCCCCTGCTGGTTGACACCCTTCTCCACCCGGAACTCCCTTTCCAGCTTCCATGTACGACAAGTGCCACCGGCTTAGAATTCCAGCTCAACTGAAACCACTTCTCCCAGTGGCCTTACAAACTTCCCCAGCTCTCTGGCCATGGGTGGCCTTCCTCCCTTCCTTCCCACCCCAGGAACATTGTATCTGCCCTCTCAGAATGTTTATCCTGTTCAGACTCCTTGAGAAAACTCCCCACCCCAGTCTCAAATGTGCAGGGAATGTTGCCTCGCCTTTGTGAGATTTGATTTTTGTTATCAGTATGAAAATCACACCCATATGGTAAAAAGCGAATCAAGCTGTACAAAGGGTGGAAAATGGAAAATAAGTTTCCTCCACTCAGGCTTACCCTTTCCCATTTTGCAAGAAGTAACCATCTTCGACAGTTTGTGTGTCTGTCCAGAACTGCACTGCATGTACACATAGCTACGTGCAGAAACATCTTCTCTTGGAAATGTTGCCAGAAAGGGGCGTGTGATTACATGTTCCACACTCACTCCCTCCATGTAAGATTTTTGAAGAGGGCTCCTCCTCCTCCAGCCCTGAGCTGCCTCATGTATTTCAGCAGCTGCTGTGACTATTCTGATGTATGGAGGGACAAACCTTATTAACCCTGCCTTGATGGCCTCCTAGGTTGTCCCCACTTTTTCTTATTGGAAACATCCCTCGTCTGTGTCTCCTCCCTACCTCTCACACGGCGCAGGGTGGATGACTGGCCCACCTGCTGCCATGGGCGAGGCCTTGACCCTCCCTATTGGCCTCTACAGCAGCTGAAAGGCCGGGTCCTAGTGAAGGGGAAGAAGCTGCCGGCTGCTCGCAGTGAGGATGGCCGGTCTTTATCAGATCGGGAAGAGGAGGAGGAAGAAGAGGAGGAAGAAGAGGAGGAGGAGGCTGCAGAGCAGAGGCGGCTGGTGAGTGGGCTACAGGGGTGGGCCCGGGCTTGGTCCCACTGCAGAGCTAGAGGCAAGGGGTGGGGAAGGGGAGGAGGGTAGTGCCAGGGGGCTGGAGCCAGCTGACCCCACTGGGGCTGGTCTCCCAGGCCAAACAGATCTCCCCGGAGCTGTCAGCCCTGGCCGTGTACTGCTGCGCCAGCCGCCTGCGGACCCTGCACCCAGTCCCTGGCCCTGCCCAGCCCTGCCAGGTCAGCTCCCTCAGTGAGCGCAAGGCCAAGAAGCTCATTCGGGAGGCAGGTAGGAGCCGGGACGGAGGGGAGGCATCGGGGGGCAGGAGGGTGGAGTGGGGTCTCCTGAGGTTGGTGTGGAAAGGAGATCGGGAGGGCTTTGGGGCTGGCCGGCCAGTAAAGAGATCAGGGACCCCAGAGAGGGGCTCAGCGCAGGGAATGAGGGTCCAGGTGTGGGTGCAGGGGAGAGTCATGGGAATGGAGGAGGCCTGCTCTCTGCCCTCTCAAGGCTCATGGCCCAGTTGGGGCCAGACAGATGGGGAGGTGCCAGTCAGGCCTTGACAGGGTCCGGGGGAGTCCAGCAGAAGCGGGTGAGATCGGGGAAGGATTCCAGGAAGGAGCAGCCAGGTAGAGCAGGGGGACAGGGTTTCCTGGCGGGAGGAGCGGGCTGCAGGAAGGCCTGGAGGTGTGACCTATGGGAGGGTTCCAGGTACCACTGCATGGCTGGAGGGGTGTGGGCAGGATGAGTGAGGAGTGGCAGGGAATGTCAGCCAGAGGCCAGGCTGTGTGACCAGAGGGGTCGGGGGAGAATGAGGAGGGGATGGGGAGCTGGGGATGGGACTTCAGCCTCTGCTCCCAGGAAGCCACAGGCCCTGGCACAGGTGAGGGACCCCAGGGGCTGGTCACAGTCTCGCCCCACTCCGCCCCAGGGAACAGCTTTGTCAGGCACAACACCCACCAGCTGACCCGTGTGTACCCGCTGGGGCTGCGGATGAACTCGGCCAACTACAGCCCCCAGGAGATGTGGAACTCGGGCTGCCAGCTGGGTGAGCAGCGCCGTGAGAGCCTGGAGGGGTCGGGTGCCAGCAGTGGGGGTGGCCTCTGGGCAGCCACGGGAGGCCTCAGCAGTGAGGGGGCCATATAGTCTTCCAGAAGGTGGAGAAACGCATTTTGTTCATAATAACTATTCAAAAAGCTGTCAGAATTTTGGTGGGGAAATCAGGTTTCCTTTGTTCTGACAGTGTAAAAGTCTCATGTTTTAATGAGGTAGAAATGAAAGCCTCCACTCCTATATGCCCCGACACGCTCACACACACGCTTAGTGGCAGCCCTGCTAAGTCCACACTGACAAGGGTGGGCTCTGGGACACTGAGCACTGCCAGAGGACGGAGTGTGGTACAGAGGCCCCAGGCTTCCTCGGCCCCTGGCTCTGACCCAAGCTAGGCCGGGCCCTGAGGGTGATGGCTTCTCCACACCCCCCACCCCAGCCCACCCTCCAGGGATCCCAGGGATAAGGTAAAGCTGACAGCGAGGGCTGGGTCCCCTGGCTGCCTTGACCCCCTCCCGATAAGTCACAGTGGGGGCAGGTAGTACTAACCAGACAGGGGGCCCCTGGTCCTCTGCAGAGAGGAGCTAAGTTCCCTGAAGCTGCGCATGAGGCGAGGGCCACTAAGGGCCCTCTCTGACCCTGCTGTCCACAGTGGCCCTAAACTTCCAGACGCCAGGCTACGAGATGGACCTCAATGCTGGGCGCTTCCTCATCAACGGGCAGTGCGGCTACGTCCTGAAACCTGCCTGCCTGCGGCAGCCCGACACAACCTTTGACCCTGAGTGCCCTGGACTCCCTAGAACCACTGTCACCATCCAGGTCAGCAGCCTGGACCGTGCCCTAGGCTGGGGTCAGAGCTGGTTCTGGAGAGGCCCTTCGGAGCTGGAGGAAGACAGGAAGGCTGGGCTGGTGTTGAGGGTGGTCTGAGTGCCCATGGCAGGGGTGGGCGTGGGCCCCAGTGGGCCAGGCCAAAGCTCCCTGCCCCCTCCCACTCCCCCAGGTGCTGACCGCACAGCAGCTGCCCAAGCTGAACGCCGAGAAGCCACACTCCATCGTGGATCCCCTGGTGCGCATTGAGATCCATGGGGTGCCTGCAGACTGTGCCCGAAAGGAGACCAACTACGTGCTCAACAATGGTGGGGGCCCGGTGGTGGGGATGGGGGGCAGACAACAGAGAATGGAAGGGGTGCGGGCCAGGCCGGGTGCTGGGCTCTGACTGCCATGCCTGTGTCCTAGGCTTCAACCCCCGCTGGGGGCAGACCCTGCAGTTCCAGCTGCGTGCTCCAGAGCTGGCGCTGGTCCGGTTCGTGGTAGAAGATTATGATACCACCTCCCCCAATGACTTTGTGGGCCAGTTCACGCTGCCTCTCAACAGCCTGAAGCAAGGTTGGTGGAGGCTGGTGGGGGTGGAAAGGGGCAGGGTCTGGCCTCCTGGTTTACCTTTGTCCCACCCGTTTCCTCTGAGCCCGGAGCTGGGCAGAGGACCTAACACCTGGCTGCCTTCCTCACAGGGTACCGGCACATCCACCTGCTTTCCAAGGACGGGGCCTCACTGTCACCAGCCACACTCTTCATCCACATCCGAATCCAGAGCTCCTGAAGGCCCCACTGACGCACCTTGGGGGTCTGCAGATGCCAGTCTGTGTCCCCTGCAGAGCCTTCACCCCCTCTGGAGTGGCGGGGTGGTGGGAATGCCAGCCACCACCCCTAGCCTGCCTACTGGGCCCGCTCACCTGGTGCTGGGTTCACCTGGGTGCTGAGGGCTTCCTGGGTCCCTCCTGAAGGACAGGTGTGATCTGTTCCCTGCAGAGCTGCTCCTGTGACTTCAGTGAGCTCCAGCCCTGGGGCTCTGAGACAGCCCCAGCTCCTCTTGTCCTCAGCCCTCCTCCTCACCTGGGCTAATGAAGAGCCAGGCCTGTTGCTGCCAGGAGACTCGGGGAGCAGGACACCTGAGGGCCCCAGCCCCTCTCTGCCTGACAGCAGGGCCATCCCCGCCTCCTTCCCCCAGAGGAGCACAGCTGTACCCTTGCCCCCAACCTGAGCCTCCTTTCCTCCCAGGCTTTCCTGGACTCCTCCCCCCGCTCTAGAACCTGAACTCCCCTTCCCTTCCCAAAGCAAGAAGGGAGAACCCACGCTTGGAGCCCTGGGGAACCTGGCAGTAGGTTTTTAACTTGTGTCCTACAAGAGCCCTGGAGAACAGTAGAAGGAGACTATCTATTTTAAAAAATAAAGCCAGGCATGGTGGAAAGCCCTATAATCCCAGCAACTCAGGAGGCTGGGTAGGCACTGACCAGAAGCGGCAGGATCGCTTAAGCCCAGGAGTTCAAGTCCAGCCTGAGCAACATAGTGAGACCCAACTCTGAAAAAAAAAATAAAAGAAATAAAAGAAACAAGTTTATTTTACCACTGCCAACCCCTGAGTGGCTCTGTGATGCCACGCCCATAGATCCATGGGGGGTGACCTGGAGTGAGAGTCCCTTGGGCCTCTTCCCTCAGCAGGGCTTTGATTTAAGACAGCCAGGGGGTGGCAGGAAGAGATACCACAGCTCAAAATAGCCCTGATCCCTGCTCCCTGCTCTTGGCTTAAAGCTGCTGCCAGTATCACAAGACTGTCTGAGGACACCAATTCACAAGGTCATCCCTCCCCCAAGAGCATGCACACACACGCTCACACAGATTTTGAATGGAGGGCAGGACTCTGAGGGACCTTCAGACAGACACCATTCCCCAGGTTCACCTGGGTACAAGGCCCCTGTCTGCTCAATTCCCAGGGACTTGGGGCTCCCCTCCCACCAGCCAACCAGCCTTTTAAGTGAAGGTGAGAAAGCAGCAGGCCACGCTAGGGTAGTGGCAGCCAAGCCGCAGCCCCGGGGGGAGGTACGTTGAGGCTAAGTCCAGTTTTAGTGTACAAAGAACAATGAGTGCTGTCTGGCCCCCGCTGGGCCAGCTCTGGACAGGGGCTGGCTGGGGTCCTATGTCAAGTGAGCGCCAGACCCAGGGCCGAGCCACCATCCTGCTTTGCTTCTCTGGTTTGGTGTCACAAGAGGAAGGGCTGATGGCTAGGATGGGGGCCCAGGGTTGGGAAGACTGCCGTGAGAGGGCTATGCATAGTCTTAAAGGTTAGGATGCTGACAGGAACTGAATATGGGAGGTGGGAACAAGGGGGAAGTCACACCTTTTAACCTTGGAGGTCCCTGGGTGGAGACTACCCACAGGGTTGTGTTCTCCCTGCCCAAAGCTCAGGACAGGAACGGAGGCATTGAGCCTTCAGGAGCCAGAGTGATCTGGTCTGGGACAGGAGGGTAGGGGACAAAGGTGAGGGTTTAGCAGGGGTCAGGCAGGTCCTGTGTCCTCTAAGTTTCCCTGGAAAGGGGCTCAGAGTCACCAGCCCCAGGGGCCTGAAAGGATCATTGGGTCCAGAAATGGATCAGAAGTTCAAAAGGATGAGAACAGGAGCAATGGGAAGTCTAAATGCAGCTATGGGGTCCTAGCAATCTGCCATGTTAAAATGCACCCCCTGGGGACCTCAATAGAACCACATGGCCACAGTGGGAAGGCGCAGGACCTGTACCCTGCACTGGCAGAGCCACTGCTGACCTGGGCCGAGGGGGCTGCTCTGCTCCCAGCTGGGAAAGCCCAGGCTGGCCACTCTGCCAAGGTGCTCGGGTGCTGGCTCAGAGCCCAGCCTCTCCTCTTACATGGAATGAACCCCGGTCAGTATTGGCTCCTCTCTGGCAGGTGGGAAAGGTTGGGGGGAAAGAGCCAAGTTTGCCCCAGAAGGGCAGCCTTGCCAAAGGCAGGGCTTCCAAAGCTGGCCTGGTCCAAGGGCCCTTCTTGCAGGGCCCTGTTGCCCTCGCTCTAGCCCAGGCCCCAATTGGTTCACTGTCACCTGCTTACCAGGAATACCAGGAGGGCAGAAGGGTTTGTTCAGCTGCTTCCTTTATTAGAAACAAGTGAAATGTATTGAGCAGAACAACAATGCATTTGGTATTTCCTCCCCCACCCTGGAAATGGATGCCCCCCACAGCCCAAAGAAAAGGCAAGACAAAAAGGTGAAGCTCCCCACTCCCTATTCCCAGATGCGGCACCTGCCTGCACATCAGTCAATATTTTGGAATTTAATTGAATGAAATTGTCCTAAACAGCCTCCCTAGGAGCAGTCTGCTTGCAGGCCTGCCTTCACCTTGCAGCAGGGCAAAACTGACGCCTTTGGGTCTTCCCTGGTTCTGCGGCAGGTGGGCCGGGCTGTAAGAAGGCTGCCCCCAGGCGAGTAGGCACTGACCAGAGACATTGCTGTTCTCTCCCCTGACCTGACAGTCCCTCTCTTCTAGACTGCAGCTCCATGCAGCTGTCCGAGGTCTTTGGGTCCTTCGGTTGGTTAAATGCAGGTCATCTTTGGGGAAAGAATTCAAGACCAAAGGGACACCCACCTCTGGACTTCAGAGAGCCAGCAAGTAAGGGGGCAGTGGCAGTTAGAAGGGAGCTGTAGGCAAGGCCTGAAATTTTCCATGAACCTTGGTGTTAAAGTAGGCTGGCATAGGCTGGCCTTCAAACAAGACATCAGCCTCCGGAAATAGGCATGTGTGGGGAGAATGAGCCCTGTGTTGGCCCCAGTTGGGTGCTGAGGCCTCCTTTCTACCCAGCTCTCTCCGTACACAGAGACTGGAGTCTGTGGTCAAATGCAGAATCAATCCAAAGGCAGGGGGTTAAGGTTATCTTCCAAACACAGCAGTCAGGAGGACTGGATGGTGGAGGGTAGGGGCCACAGGGAGGTCTTCCAATAGCAGCTGCTTGAGGCAGGTCAGCTTGGAGGCGCTGGGGTCCTTCCCTTATTTGGTTCAAGCCAGCCATGGTGCCACCATACTGCAAGGCTCCTGTGAGGAGGCTCTGAACCCCATGATGGTACTCTCTGACCTGAGGTCCCAGAAGGGGTTGAGTGAAGAACCAGGGGCTGTTTGGACAAAAACAAGACTAACAGCACCCACTGAGGCAACTCCTGCAGACCCGGGTAGGGTCCTCACCATAAGATAACAGCAGAGTCCAGAGCAGGCCACCTGGTTTTGGCAAGGGAGATGCCAGGGTCTTTGCTAGGAGATCTGTTTCTTCCAGAGAAGCCACCAGGGCCCCACCGTTTCCATTTCACAACCTGGGTCAACCAAAGCAAAGCTCGCTCCACAGGTATGTGCAGCCCAAATCTCAAGAGGCAGCTCAAGCAGGGACCTGGCCCAGAAATGATCCAGACTAGGACAGGGAGCCTTTCCAAGTTCCAGGTCACCCCAAGGTAGGAAACACTTGGGCACTTTGTTCTTTGATATCCTCAGAGGTCTGGACAGGGTGAAGCCACTCTTGGGGCGCCGTGTGTGCCTGCTGTGAGGCTGGAAAAGCAAGGCCCTGCCTCTCCGACTCCTCCTGTCTGTGGAATGCAGTGTGGATCTTGCTAAAAGAACAGTAGCTTCTTTGGTCTGGATATCTTGGAGTCAAGGAGTCAAAGGTCAGCCGTGATGGCTAGTGCCTGCAGTTTGCAGCACAGGAAAACTGGGAGAAGGGAGGCCCCTAGAGGCCTCTGATGACAAGCCACCACAGTAGAGTTGCTGGCTTTAGCAGCAGTCTGCAGAGAGCGGGCAGCATTCCCACTGGTGGCACAGCCCCCAACCCAAGCACACAATTTCCTCCAGCTTTGGGGACTCTACAGAATTAACCTCTACTCTAGCAAACCCCTGTTGGCCTGTAGACAGTGGCTTTAGTTAGAGCAACAAGGCTGAGCCTGGCCTCCTGGCTAAGGCTTCATTCCTGTACAGGCTGAGAGGCAAAAGCAACAAGGAAACCCCCATGCCACACATCACACTACCCACCCAATTGCTTCCTCCTAGAGCAAAAGCTACACACAACCCTGCATATGGGCTGCTGACAATTCTGCAGCCTGGTCCTCTTCCTCAGGCTGAACTGAAGAATGCCAACATGGACAGTCATGTGACCAGAGGCTAGATTACTTTTTGGGAAACCAGCAGCACTGATAACCATCACTACCACCACAAAAATCCACAAAACGGCATCAGTGACAATCAGACTTAGACAATGGCAATGTCAAAGTGTTTCTATTGCCAAGTCCAGATCTGTCTCTAAGCATCATTTCTTGCTGCCACTTGCAGGCTGTGTGTCTTAGAAAGGAGCACAGAAATGGCTAACATGGGCTGGAAGGCACAGGCCAGGTGGCTGAAGGGGTCTGGGCACTGGCTCCATGCCATCTCTGCCCAGCCACCCTGGGGACACCCAGGTGCTGGCTCTTTGCTCCCCGATGAGCTAAGCAGGGCTTGCACTGATGTGGTCTTCACAGGTCCCAGACGCTACAAGGAGGTGCAAGGGCTCCTTCGCACTGCCTGTCGCCCCAGGCAGTGGAAAAGCAAAATCACACAGGGGACTCATCCCTATAAGGTTGGCAACAGCTGGCTAGAGAGCCCGTTTAAATCAGTTGGCAGGATGACATCCTGCAGGGAACAGGCCAAAGGGATGGAAGGGACTCAATCAATAAAATCTGCGTCCACAGATTGTCCCCATTGCTATCTCAGAATGCAGAAAGGCCTGGCCCCTGCAGGGATCAGCCTCACCCGGGAGTTCTGCCTGCCATTCTGTGAGGTCTGAGCCTGTTCCACCTTCCCTTCCTTCTCAAAACCAATTGCTCCAGCCGATTCAGAAACGGGACCTGAACAAGGCCCCCCAATGCCTCTTTCTCCTTCTACCCCGAGAAAAGTCAATGCCTCCTTTTGAAGGAAACAATTAACTGTACCAATATGTCTGTCTGCCATTGTCCTTGGGTCCTAATTTTGAGGAATGATCTGGATTCAGACTTTCATTAGAGACCAAACATCCTTGTACATTTGAAACATGAAAGATAGTTAAAATATTTATATATATATAATATATATATACTTTTATTATTCACCCGTTAACTCCATAATAAGCCAATCACGAGCTAGTTTTCAGCAGTTACATTCCCTTGATCATGGCTGCATGAGGATGTGATTAACTGGAAAACAGGGAGACCAGAGACACAGCCAAAGGTGACGTCACGCAGCCCACGCCATTGCAATACATTGTCAAGTTCGCTGGCGGTTTGGTAAAGCCGGTTCAGCTCTGTTCCCTTTGCCAGGGATTCTCACGTTTGTGAAAATTGGACCAATTTGTGGGGTTCCATTTCCTGGTTGGAATTCTCAGTGGCTTTATCCAGAATGTCACTGGCAACTGGTTATTGTAGCACCAGCCCCACCTAGGAGAGCCAACGGGGAGAGGCAGAGTTGAGTTGACAGTTGCCCTAAGACATTCCTACTCCTAGGGCTGAAGTTCCAACTGACAGCCCGCAGCAGGCCTGTGCCAGGCCTCTACTCAGCCTCCACTCGAGTG